ACGGTTGGTGAATTCGAGCCCCGCTTCAGGCTCTGTGCTGACAGCTCTGAGTCTAGAGTCTGCTTCAAATTCTGTGTCTCCCTCCCTCTCTCTCTGCCCCTCCCCTCCACACACTCTGTCTGTCTCTCTCTCAAAAATGAATAAACGTAAAAAAACTTTAAAAGAAAATAAAATCAGGGATTACTTCTGAAGGACATTTTGAGGGGGCACTTTTCTTTTCCTAAATAAGGTATCTGTTCTCCCCGAGCAAGCTGGGTTTAAGCCGGGTAATGTTTTGGTGGGGGTACCTGGGAGCACCACGAGCAAATCGTTCAAAAGAATCAAGCATTGTAGTGGGGCCACTGATCTTTCCGGTCCTTTAGCATTAGCCAGTCGGAAAATTCTGCTCCCCACTAGAGGTTTCAGCTCCAGATAAATGATTCAAACTTCGTTAGTAGAGTGCGGCTAATAATACGTGTTGCCTTCTGTTTTCACCAGCCTGGGTAGGAATAACAAAAAAAGAGTTTGTGTGCTTGCAGAAGGAAAGGAGCACATAAACATATCATAAACTATAGTCGGTCTTCTGCTTGTCTGCCACTCCAAATTCAGCCTCCGCAGTTAGCAATCTGGCACCATTTGCCAGCATTAATTTGATTCCATTTGTATTCCAAGTTGCAATTCCCTTTACAGTGCACTTTAGTGCTTAAGATCTATTTGTCAGCTGTTATTTAAAGGAGCGAATAAATTTTTCAGTATGCAGTAAACGCAAAATAACCCAGAGAAATGAAAGTTTGAATCCCAAGTTGTTAAATGGGAGAGCCAGTGAAGAGGACTGTGTAAAACTAGTGAGCTAATGGCAGGCAAGTTAGTCACGTTTTTATGGATTTGCCATAGTTGAATTGACTTTGATTTCTTTAAACGTTCCAACTCTTGGGGCTCCTGGGTGGCTCAGTTGGTTAAGCATCTGACTCTTGATTTCTTCTCAGGTCACTATCTCACAGTTCGTGGGTTTAAGCCCTGAGTAGGGCTCTGTGTTGACAGTGTGGATCCTGCTTGGGATTCTCTCTCTCTCTCTCTCTCTCTCTCTCTCTCTCTCTCTCTGCCCCTCTCCTGTTCACACACTCTGTCTCTCTCTCTCTCTCTCTCAAAATAAATAAATAAACTTAAAACAATAAGGAATGTTCCAACTCTTGTTATAGTGGGTATTGCCCTAGAGTTGGAGAGAAGTAAGGAACTCAGTTGTTTTCCTGAGCCACCTATAGAAATTGTTCAGTATCATCATTCATATTCTATAATTTTTTTATGTTTATTTATTTCTGAGACAGAGACTGAGCTTGAGTGGGGGAGGGGCAGAGGGAGAGGGAGACACAGAAACAGAAGCAGGCTCCAGGCTCTTGAGCTGTCAGCACAGAGCCTGACGCAGGGCTCGAACTCACAAACTGTGAGATCATGACCTGAGCCGAAGTTGGATGCTCAACCGACTGAGCCACCCAGGCACCCCATCATTCATATTCTAGACCATAATATCCTCAGTGAAATACGGTGGACCCTTGAACAATGCAGCTGTTAGGGGCACCACACCCCACACAGTCGAAAAATCTGCGTCTAACTTTGGAACCCCCAAAACTTAACTACTACTAATAGTCTGCTGTTCGCTGGAAGCCTGAAGGATAATATGAACAGTCAGTTAACACATATTTCGTATATTATACGTATCATATACCGTATTCTTACAATAAAGTTAGCCAGAAAAAAAGAAAAGGGTATTAAGAAAAACATAAAAGAAAATACATTCACAGTATTATACTGTGTTTGTTGAAAACAAATCCACAGCGAAGTGGACCCACAAAGTTCAGGTCTGTGTTGTTCCAGGATCAGCTGTAGTTTAGGGCTTTTATGGTTCTTATTTCAGTCTTCTTGAGTGTTGACCATCTGAAGCTATAGGTTTAGGGAAGGAGCTCACTGGGCAAAATGCCATCTTTTTTAAAATCTTCCCCAGAGAATTTTAGTGTGGAAGAATCTGATTAAAAGCCTACTTTAATATGATTTTGTGTGTGTCTGTTGTGTATGTGTTTTAGGGAAGTAGCTAGGAAATACTTTTTAAGGTAAAAAAATAATGGGAAATGTTTCTGGAAAGTTAGGTCCCTTTAACTTTCCTCTCTGTTAAAAAGGTATTCCTGCAGTTTTAAAGATGGCGTCACTCCTACAAACTAAACAATTCAGATGGATGTCCTAGAACCTCACACTCTCGTTTTTCAAAAGCCGTGTTCTTTTTTAGAGCATGAACATAATGGATGTATCTTGCTTAGATTCCGCAGGCTTGTTTTACTACTAAAGATTGCATATGCACGGAACCCCGTGCTCTTCTCCCCTTCCTTCCTTTATCAGGGTTCCAGTAGAACTTGGCTACCGAGCCGGCAAGCCCTCGTTACAGTGAATGAATGGCAAGCCCTCCCAGTTACAGTGAATCAAGGGTTCATAATTGCAACCAGTCTCAAGTCCCATTCATGTTACGAATACAATCTGAGTGGACCTAGAAACTGGCCACAGAAAGATCTAGCCAGAGCTGTTTTTGGTGCCCATTACCCTTAACTGATGTGGACGAGCAGAGATGATGCTCAGGCCATCTCCATTCTCTGAAGCACAGGAGGCAGGCGTTGTGTCCTGCTGCTGTCCTGTTCTTTGGATCTTTGCCGTGGCACAGCCAGGGCGAGGCAAATAAAGAGTCACCTGCGTGCCATATAGCAGCAGCCGCCAGCCACTGCTGGCACCAGCCACTCACTCAAGACACCTGTGCCTGCCCCCCTCCCGAGTTAAGTGTGGACCCACTTCTGTTCTAATCATACACCACCAATCTTAATCTTGTATCTTGATCACTGTCTCTGACTCCTGTGGATTGGACTCCAATTCTTCGCTCCCAAACAGCCTTGATTCCTGTTATGCCTTCAGCGGAAACTTAATGCTCTAACTCAAGTTCCTGGGTTCCTGGTCCTGTTGGTGACCAGTTGACCAGCAACCACTTCATGTGTGAATGGCCTTTCTTCTCAGATTCTCTACTTTTTCACATCTTCAAGTTTGTCTGTTAACTTTTGCTGACCACCTAACTCTACGTGTCATTAAATTCCCACTGTGTATGTAGGTGAGCATTCTTTTTTGTTTTTTAATGTTTATTTATTATTTTTGAGAGACAGAGAGACAGAGCGTGAGCAGGGGAGGGGAGGGGAGGGGCAGAGAGAGAGAGAGAGAGAGGAAGACATAGAATCCGAAGCAGGCTCCAGGCTCTGAGCTGTCAGCACAGAGCCTGATGCGGGGCTCGAACCCACAAACCGTGAGATCATGACCTGAGCCGAAGTGGGACGCTTAACCAACTGAGCCACCCAGGCACTCCTTCATTCTTTTTTTTTTTTTTTTTTTTTGATGTTTATTTATTTATTTATTTATTTTGAGAGAGCACAAGTAGGGGAGGATCAGAGAGAGAGATAGAGAGAGTTCCAAACAGGCTGTGCACTGTCTGTGCCTGACATGGGGCTCAAATGCACCAACTTTGAGTTCATGACCTGAGCCAAAAATCAGGAGTCAAACGTTTAAACAGCTGAGCCACCTAGGCGCCCCTGTTCTTTTTGATGCTAAAGGTCAAATATGGCAAATGCCAAGTAAACAAATACATAATCATTTTTTTTTAATTTATTTATTTTGAGAGAGAGGGGGAGAGAGAGAGAGAGAGAGAGAGAGAACAAGTGGGGGTGGGGCAGAGAGAGAGAGGAAGTGAGAATGTCTCAAGCAGGCTCTCCGGCTGTCAGCACAGAGCCCATCATGGGTCTTGATCTCATTAACTGTGAGATCATGACCTGAGCCGAAGTCAGACGCCTAACCGACTGAGCCACCCAGGCGCCCCAATCTTACTTGATCTTTAATTGTTTACAAGCCTTTCGTGATTAAATGACTTCTCCTTGCTGTAGTGTTGGCACCAAAGAGTATATATTTATTTGAGAGAGTGTGTACCAGCATTAAACAATTAATTTTTATGAATTCTACTAGAGAATATGTTTTGTTCCTCTGGAAGCATTTATTTGGGCTTTTTTTTTTTTTTCCCTGCAGATAGATTTTTTTTTTTTTCCATTTCCTTACATTTAAAAACTCAAATCAGGGGCCACAAAATCATCAGTGTCAGGAACACTTTAGAAATTCTGTTACATATTGTGGTATTGTCTTAATCCTTTCTCGGTTATAGAAATAACTTCTTCCTGATTGAGTCTCCATCCACAATGTCAGGAAACAACTGCTTACCACATCCATCACTTCTGTCTGCACAGGATCGTGTTTCAAAGGTTTCCCAATTAATCCTGTGGAAGTTAGAATCATTCATAATTATAATCCTGTTATGCCTTCTTTATTTCTTGATGTGCTTGTTAATTAACGTCCATCCTGCAGCGGTCTGTAGCATGGTGCTGTTATTGGCTGTTTTGTCTTTAAAAGCCTCTTTTCTACCATTTTGACTAAGATTGATTCACTGCACTTTGTTGAAATCGATCATTTTGGATCAAAAAAAAATCTATCTATACCATATATTCATTCTGGCTACTTTTGCATGATTTCACTTTTTTTCAGTCCATCAATGCCAAGCTGGTGGCTTACCCCTTTTTGGCTTCCTTTCTCTTGCTCTTTTCTTTTTTAAGAACTGTCTATCTCTTTCTTTCTCCCGCCCTCTCTGAGACAACACCTCTGGGGAGAAAAGCCAATTGGCGGAGGCAGCAGAATAAATTCTCATTTTGGAACCAGGCTAGACACTAGTCCCATTTCTCTTTTTATAAAATCAGGAAGAGGGTCCCTCTGCTTGGTGATCCTCCCCCTGAACAGTCTCTAGGGTGACAGCGTCATGACTGACTGCGAGGCACTTTGCAAGCGCTGTAGCGTCCTTCGTCATAGCCTCAAACTCCTCTGTATTCTAATCTCACCAGGTGGACTCCAGACGAGCACTAAAATTCTTGCGCACATACTAACGTTTTCTTTTCTTCTTCCAGGCACTGACTTTAACATAGATAGCTTACCTCTGCCTCGGAAGGCCCATCACGACTGGGCCCTTTTTCACGAAGAGTCTCCGAAAAATAATTACAAGCTCTTTCACAAGCCGGTCATCACCTTGTTCAACTACACTGCCACGTTCAGCCGACATTCCCACTTGCCACTGACCACCCAGTACTTGGAGGGCGTAGAAGTCCTGAAGTCACTCAGATACCTGGTCCCTTTGCGGTCCAAGAACATCCTTCGAAGAAGACTTGCTCCACTGGTGTATGTCCAGTCAGACTGTGACCCGCCATCAGACAGGGACAGCTATGTTCGAGAACTGATGACTCACGTTGAGGTGGATTCCTACGGTGAGTGTTTACGAAACAAGGATCTCCCTCCGCAGCTAAAAAATCCAGCTTCCATGGATGCTGATGGCTTTTATAGGATCATCGCACAGTATAAGTTTATCCTTGCCTTCGAGAATGCGGTGTGTGATGACTACATCACTGAGAAGTTCTGGAGACCTCTGAAACTGGGGGTGGTCCCTGTGTATTATGGGTCCCCCAGCATCGCTGACTGGCTCCCAAGTAATAGAAGTGCTATTCTCGTGTCTGAATTTGCTCACCCTAGAGAACTGGCAAGTTACATCAGACAGCTGGATCACGACGACAGACTGTACGAGGCCTACATAGAATGGAAGCTGAAGGGTGAGGTCTCGAATCAGCGACTTCTCACAGCACTCAAGGAACGGAAGTGGGGAGTACAAGACGTCCACCAGGACAACTACATCGATGCATTTGAGTGCATGGTGTGCAGCAAGGTGTGGGATAATATCCGGCTTCAGGAGAAGGTGAGAGAATCAAGGTTTGGCGAAGAGGCTCTAGGAGAGCCATCTTGATGGCTTCTGACATTTTGCATCCTTTTTTTAAAAAAAGTTATTATTATTATTATTATGTTTTAAAGTTTATTTATTTTGAGAGAGAGAAGGAGGGGCAGAGAGAGAGGGAAAGAGAAGAGAATCCCAAGCAGACTCTGTACTGTCAGCACAGAGCCCGACACGGCACTCAAACTCAGCAAACCACAAGATGGTGACCTGAGCCAAACCCAAGAGTCAGATGCTTAACAGACTGAGCCACCCAGGCGCTCCGCCATTTTGTATCCTTCTGTAGCGGCCCCTTCGTACTCCTCTTCATTCCCATTAGAGAGACCAGGCTCTGCAGGAAGGTGAATATTTCATTCCTCTCCTTTGAGGACTTCATTCCTCATGAAGTTTACTAGTCCTGTCCTTCTTCCTGAAGGCCTTAAACTCCCCTTTATTGTTTCTTCTGAAGGACACCATGCTGCAGGTGCTGGGCAGTGATAGAAGCAGGCTGCAGGAGAGGGAAGAAAATGATAAAAAATGGGAAAATTCTAAATCTCATCCACATTGTCAGGTCTTTAACTTTTCCATCAGTGCTCTGGTTTCTGTCAGACTCCTTACACGTTTGCCTCACAGGCTACTGCTTGGAAACTTATTTTCATTTCACATGTGCAATCTAACACCTCTCTCTCTGTCTCTCTCTTTCTCATTCTTACTCTTTCTCTTTCTGGCACATGCTTATTAATATAGAGAAAATATTCAAATGATGATGGATAACCCTTAAAATATTTCTTTTTCTTAAACTATTATAATTTCTTAGTAATGTCTTAGTAATGTCTTCAAATTTCTTGATGCTCTTAACATTTGCTTGCTTTACTTATTTATACTGGGAATGGTCTCACTTTATATATAACTAAATTTGTTAGAAGGTAGTTTATTGAAAGAAAGAGAAAGATTAGTTTAATTTACCTTTGAAATTAAAAGAGAGTGGTGCCCAGGTGGCTCAGTCAGCCCCTAAAAGTCAGCCAACTTTGGCTCAGGTCATGACCTTGTGATTCATGGTTTCGAGCCCCGTGTCGGGCTCTGTGCTGACAGCTCAGAGCCTGGAGCCTGCTTCGGATTCTGTCTCCCTCTCTCTCTCTGCTCCTCCCCTGCTCACACTCTGTCTGTCTGTCTCTCTCTCTCAAATAAATAAATGTTTAAAAAAATTGAAAAAAAAAAGAAATTAGAGAAGAAATGAGATGGCCCACTTATACTATACTAGTTGGCAATCACTCATCAGTCCCTTGTCCTACTCCCATATACATGTAATGTTTCATCTAAGTTCTCTGGAGGCAAACAATTTTTGTTAAATACTGAAATGTTTATTTTGGACACCATATTAATTTCAGGTCAGACATAAACCTGAACAGTTCATTGAATTATTTTTGTGTATTGTATAGATAAGGCTCTCATAGGCGAAATGTGTGTATTTTTAGACAAATTTTAAAATATTTGAAAGATTATTTTCCTCATTTTAACTAGTATAAAATTTAAATTGTTTTATCTGGTTTTATATAACAAAGATTTACTCAGAAAATCATTTCTGTTAAGCCAAGTGACTTGGTTGCTGCACGAACACTATTACATCATCCTTCTCAGAGAATGCATCCTGACTGGCAACGACTTCCTCTTTGACCTAAGTTACAGGGCCACGTTACAGCAAAACCCAAAATCCGCACACTGCAGAAAACGTGAAAAAGTAGAGACCACATTAATTACCCATGCCATCCTAATTATTTATTCTGAAAGTCTGTTAAAGCAGAAAACAGAACTTCTGAGGGTGGTGATTTGCCCGGGGCTGCCGATCAAGATCCGTGCCAGGCTTGGACATGACAGTCACAGAAAACCAAACAACCCCACAAGCCCTAACTGTGTGTGCACCTCACAGACGCCCTTTTGGAATGATTGCTGGGGACTGGAAGAGAGCACATGACGACGTTGGTGGATAGCTTTGTAAAAGTTATAGGAGAATGTGTATATTCCTGCGTTTCCAAAAAAACAGCTAACTGTGGTATTTCCGAGTGCCTGAAGGTGATGTAATTACATGTCCTTTTCTTTGGAGTCTTTGAAGAAAAGTAGATGGAGTAGGCTGTCCTTTGGCGTGTTCTTATTCCTCCCCGAAAAGTGGTCAGTGAGGATGATTAAAAGGCTTTGCTTGCATTTCAATGGATGCGCTACAGTTCTCAAATGCTAATGTGCTCATTATTGAAAAGCAGAACAAAATGTACCGTGAAAGTAAATTAAAAGGGTATTAAGACTAGTTCTTTACACTGGCATTTATTCATTTGTTTTACAAGATTTGTTATAGCTTCCATATGCCATGCCTTAAAGTAAGCTGCTTATATATGTTTCTTCACTTTTTCTCTTTCAGCCAAAGAAAAGCTAAAAGAAATAATTTGATTTCCTCTGACTCTGATTATTTTTCATCTTGTGGCTGGCAATAATTTAATCATTGTATTTGGATGTAGAAACTACCGTAAGAATATCAAATGTATCTCCCCTTTCTCTACTCTGCTTCTCCCCTGCTCTCCCTCTACACAGACCTAGTGAGTTATCTATTGCTGTGTGAATAATAATGTCACAGACTTAGTGGCTTAAAAACCACACATACTTATCATCTAACGGTTTCTTGTGGATTAGCTCATGGCTTAAGCGGGTCCCCCGGAAGCCTGCAATCAAAGTATCAGTCAGGGCCGGGTGTTCACCCAGAGGCTCAACTGGGGACAAGTCTGCTTCTAAACTCACATGCTTGTTGGCAGATTCAGTTCCTAGAGGCTATAGGACTGAGGGCTTCAAGTTGCTCATTGGCTGGAGGCCGGAGGCTGCCCTCGGCTCTGAGAGGCCACTACATTCCTCGTCCATGCGGGCTTCCCCAGCATGGCTGCTTACTTCCTCAAAGCCAGCAAGGGAGTGAGAGAGTTCAGCAAGATCAGTGCTGCAACCAGCATATATGATCATGTACACACAATCACATACATTCTCTCACCTTTGCCGTATTTTATTGGTTAGAAACAAGTGAAGATACCTTGCACGCTCAAGAGGAAAGGAATACAAGGGCATGCATACCAGGAGGCAGAAATCACGGGGGCCATCTGGAGTCTGTCCACCACACCTGTTGAATCTGAGTAGGCTTGTTCTCTATGGTGTTTGCTTTATTTACCCCATGTAGGGGGAAGTCTTTCGGTATTGAATTGACTTTAGTCTGTAAAAGAACATTTACCCATACACCATCCTGTCCTCAAAAAGGCCATAATAGGGGAGACAGCATATAATCGTCAGAGATCTAACTTCACAGGGGATAAGCTTTTAAAAAATTAGCTTTGAGGTATAATTGATATACAATAAACTGCACATATTTAAAATGCGTGGTTTGATTAGTTATGACCTATACCTGTGAAACCATCACCCCAATCAAGATGACAAACATTTCTGTCCTCCCCAGGACATGAGTTTCCTCATGTCCCTCTTTAATCCATTCTCTCTCCACCCCCTTTCTCAGGCAGCCACACATCTGCTTTTTGCCACTTGTGACAAAGAAGCTAAGGCACTTTTCTAGAATTTTATGTAAATGGAATCCTGTAATGATTCTCTTTTGTGTCTGGCTTCTTTCTATCCACATGATAATGTTGACATTCATCCACAACACTGCGTATCAACAGTTCCTTTCTCTTCATTGTTGAAGTTCGCACATGCCAAAATGGCCTTATCCATTCAGCTCTTGATGGACATTTGAGTTGTTTTCAGTTTCTGGCTATTACACAATAAAGCTGCCTCGAACGTTCACGTACAAGTCTTTGCGTGGACGTATGTTTTCATTTGTCTTCTATAAATACCTAGGCGAGGAATGGCTAGGTCATATGGTAGATGTCTGTTAAACATTTTGAGAAATTACCAGATTGTTTTCCAAAGTTACTCTGTCGTACATCCCCACCAGCATTGCATGGGAGTTGCATTCATTAACAGTCGGTGTGGTCAGTTGTAGTTTTTGCCATTTTGCTGGGTGCGTAGTGGTATCTCACTGTGATTTAATTTACATTTCTCAGCAACTAATGATTTTGAGTATCTTTTAAATGGCTTATTTGCCATCAATATCTTCAGCGATACGTCTCTTCAAATCTTTGCTCATTTAAAAAAGATTGAGTTATTCTTGTTATTCTTGAGTGGTGACAGTTCTTCATATATTTTGAACAAATAACAGATGTTTTCTTCCAGGCTTTGGGTTGTTTTTCCATTTTCATAACAGTGTCTTTTAAGGTGTAAAAGGTTTTAGTTTTGATGAAGTCCAGCACATCATTTTTTTCTTTTATATTTGTGTGTTTTGTGTCCTATATAAAAATATTTGTGTAACCCAAGGTCACTAAGATGTGCGTCTGTTTTATTCTAGAAATGTTGTGGTTTTAGCTTTTACACTTGGGTCTGTTTTCCACTTAGAGTTAATTTTTGTAATGCAGTGTGGTGTAAGAGTTGAGGTTTGTATATTTGGATGTCCAATAGGATCGGCACCATTACTGGAAAGATTATTTTTTCGTGATTGAATTACCTTGTTGTTTTTTTCTAAACTCAATTGGCCATCTATATATATATATATATATGTTAATTTCTGGGCTGATCAATATGTCTGTATTTAAGTACTGTAGCTTCATAATAAGTGTTAAAATGAGATAGTGTCAATCTTCCAACCTTGTTCTTTTTCAAAATTATTTTCACCATTTTAGGTCTTTTGCTTTAATATATAAATTTTAGAGTCAGTTTGCCAATTTATATGAGAATGCTTGATAGCATTTTCATTGTGATTGTGTTGAATGTAAGTATCAATTTTGGGAGAATTGACAACAATATTGAGACATTTAACCCATAAGAATGATATATCTATCCATTTAAGTCTTCTTTAATTTCTCTAGACATTATTTTGTAATTTCTTGTGTACAGGTTTTTTTATAACTCTTTAC